AAAATTAGAGTTTAATATAGAACCTTAGGTGACCTAAGATAAATGGTAAATTCCCATCAGGAAAGAAGACGGCCTCAACGTTCAGTCGCACTTTGATTAGGTCAAGTGTGCAAGATCGCAGCACCAGATCGAGGTTAAGAGGCTCTTTGATAACTGAGGGAGTGAGAGATTTCCAAGCTGCTCAGTTCGAGGGGTGTAAACAACCCTCCAGAAGATACCCAGACCCCACCTTGTTGCAGGGACCAGAGGAGACAGAGGAGCTTGCATAGGGTTTTCTGATCCCGTCCGGCCTTCTGCCAGGCTGTGGCTGTTGCACCTGGCAGTGTCGCTGTGCACTTTGGACACACTTAGGGTGCCATCTGTATGCAAGCGCGCTGGTTTCCAAGCCGTGATTGTGCTTCTGCTTATGACAAGCTGGGCTGGATGCTTCACCCGTTAATGCTTTGGCCCTGTTCTGGCGCTGCCCCTTTGCTGTAGAGGCCTTGGATGTGACTGGCCTTTTCTGCTGTTTGTGAACGTGCCTCTCCGCTCTCTCTGTGTCGTGCTGTTGCTTCGTCTCTCCCACTGATATTTTTTTCCTTTCCTTTTGCTGCATGGAGACTCTCTGCTGTACAAGTGTAAGTATTCCTGGCAGTGCCAGAGCCTGTGGCTGTGCTGGTTCCCATCTAGAGCCCCGCTCGCTTCCGCTGCCTGGCTGGTATCCCGGGAGACCGGCGTGTTGTCATTCCATCTGCACATCCTGCATGAAATAGGCCACAATTTAGAGACAAGATTAGGGTTGGCCAGATGGTTTAGCCAAGTGAAGGGCGGGATGAATTGAAAGTCTCCCCAGCTGGGTGCCTGGGAGCTCACAGAGCCTTGATGAAGAGGGCGCCACAGCCCGGAGGACGTAGCAGGGGCTCGGAACTAAACACCCGAGGTCATTCCTCACGCTTGTCCTGGCAGCTTGTTGCAAGTCCAGGATTACAGAGAATTGGCATTACAGTTTGCTCTTTATGTTAAATTTTCCCAGTGTGCTGCTCAACTGGTAAACTTTTTTTCCTGGCCCTAGAAAGAGAGGGAAAAGGGTAAATCTGGTTCTTGACTTGGAATGAGAGTGTTCTTACTCTTTGTACAAAAAACAAACTAAAAACCAAGGAACGTGCCTTTTCCCGTTTCCATGGTGATGTAAGCAGCTTAACTCTCATTTTTAAAAATTAGTATATTTAAGACTTACATGTTAAAAGTAGGTCTGAGAGGAGAAAAATGTGCTCCTAGCCAGGTTCCAGTGTTAGCTTTTAACCTGTGGTTAGAGTGGACGTACCTTTGTTGGGCTGTATGCAGAAGTTTCAAATTCATTATAAGAATTGGATTAGATGAGTGAAGTCTGGTATAGCTATTCACGTTGCCTTTGGGGTCTTAAACACAGCCTTGGTATTTGGTTCACGCCATTTGCCACAGTGCATGTTTATTAGCAGTTTGTGGTGTCAAGATGGAAAAGCCTATATTTCGAGCTTCCTTCTAAATCCACATTTTAAAATGAAGGTTTAAACATATCTTTGTCCTTACAATATTACTTCTTCCTCATGAAACATATTTTTAGAAGTGAATTAATTCTGTCTAGGCATCAAGCCATCACTGACAGTGTTAACTGGGAGCTGGTTTGTGGCTGGTCTGGAGCCCTCTTGCTTCTGCTGTGGAGACCCCGTACCTGACACGGTTGTGATTTCCCTGACTCAAAAACACTTGGGCGTTGAGAAACGCCAAGGAGAGGGGCTTGGGGAGTGGAGGTGTGGCAAGCACCAAGATATAATCTGAGGAAGTTAACCCTTTCATTTTGCCATAGAAAGAGAAGAGCCCTTATAGATCTAAAGGTTCCCCCCTAGACCCCACCCCCAGGATGTAATTTATCAACCTAGCAATTGTGGGGAGAGAGGAAAGGGTGCAAACAGGGGGATTCTAGAGAAACTGGGCCATGTGCTCCTGAATAAGCATGTTAGAGTATGTGAGCCTGCATTTTCATAAACCTAGTGAAGAAAGCAATCCAAAGAAAAGGGACAATTTGAGAGAAATAAGGTTCATTTTTTCCCCTCTGTGAACCTTATGAAAGAATGAGATTGAAGTCATTGGCATGCGGGAGTTTCTTGTTTTGAGGCAGAGTCTTGCATGGATCCCTGTGAACTTATGGGGATTCTCCTGCTTCAGTCTCCAGTGTGCTGGGATTACAGGCTTGAGCCAGAACTCCTGATTCAGCTGGTCCCCTCCTTCCCAGAGTCTCACTATGCAGCCCTAGCTGCTCTGGAACTCTCTAGATCAAGCTAGCCTCACAGAGGTCCTCCTGCCTCTGCCTCTGGAGTGCTGGGCTTAAAGGCGTGTGTCCCCTGCCCAACTCCAGTTGCATTCTCTTTTTTTTTAATTTTTATTTTATATGTATGAGTATATTGCCTGCATGCATGTAAATGAACCATGTGGCGCAATACCTGAGGAGGTCAGAAGAGGGCATCGGATCCCCTGAAACTGGACTTACAGACAATTGTTAGTTGTCACATGGGTGCTGGGAATCGAATCCAGGTCCTCTGCGAGAGGGCAGCCAGTGCTCCTAACCACTGAGCATCTCTCCAGCCCCTAGGTTGCATTCTTGATGCCAGCTGTAGATTGGCTTCCAGTTCTCACATTAGCTAACCATCAGCCCTTTCCAAACACGGCAGACCTTGAGGACCACCAGGGTAGCTTCAAAGAAGAGATTTTGGGAAATGCAGCAGTTCTCCGCCTTACACAGATTGTTCAAAATACAGGGAAGCAGTAGATGTGCTTTTTTTCTGATACTTGAACAAGATACCAGGCTTTGAAGCATTAGAAAATAAGATCACAATGAGGAAACTGGTCCCATTCTGACCCAGGACAGCCACTGAGACCCCCAGTGTCAAGGGGGCTGGAGAGATGGCTCAGCAGTTAAGAGCCCTGGCTGCTCTTGCAGAGGACCTAGGTTTGATTCCCAGCACCCACAGATGACTAACAACCATCCATCCATAACTCCAGTTCCAGGAGAATCTAACACCTTCTTCTGACTTCTGCTGGTATTGCAGGGCACGGGTACACTTTTATATGCAGGCATAACACTCATACACATAAAATAAAAATTAAATTAAATTTAAAAAAACTAACCAAGAGGCACAAGAAGAAAACAGAAAGGGCCCCACATGCCCCCCACGCCCCTCCACATGCACTTCTCTCCTATTTGTGATTGTCTACATAAAAGTGACCGGAATTCTCTACAGACTTAGTTTGTTGTTGTTTTGGGTGTGTTTTCCAGACAGGGTCTTGTGTAGCCCAGGCTTGCTTCAAATTCGCCACAAAATCCAGTCTGGCCTTGACCTTGGGATCCTTTGTCTCGGCCTCCCAACTGCTGGGACCACAGGCGTGGACCACCGTATCCAGCTTCAGGATTGTTGGTCTTTTCAGTGTGGCGGTTGTGTGCAAGGTGCACAGAATTCTGAGTAACTCACGATGAAACACAATATGCATTTTGGTAATTTGTGTCTACTGAGAATTATTTTCAGAGCTTTCCCTTACAGAACACCCACCAGGCCTCTGTAACCAACTGCAAGGCCAGTTGGGGAAGAATGGCCTGGAAGTGACTCTGTTTCGAGCTCCATGTCCTTGCTGAGTCTGATAATCCAGCTAGCTTCAAGGCTGCTGTTCAGCCTGGACCGATTAGCAAGCCTCCTTTGGTCTTCCAGGAAAACCATTCTGTGTTTGAATCTGATTGCTCATTTCTTTTCTCCTTCTTTTTCTCCCAACATAAAATAATATCAAAAGGATGTTTTTTATTACTACTGGGATAACTGTCAAAGTTGGAAGTTGTTTGCTTTTCTAGCTCAGTATGAACCAGTTTGTTCTTTGAAGTAGAGAACATGGACTTTGAGGGCTGACAGCCTGTTAAATGAAAGAATATGAATTTCTTTGAACTCTGTCATCTCTTAATCTAGATGATACCAGTTCTTTGAGCTAAGCATGGTGGTGTGCACCTGTAATCTCAGCATTTGGGAGTCTGAGTCAGGAGGTTTGTGATTTGGGGGACAGTCTGACTACATAGTAAGACCTTGTCTCAAAAACAAAATTCCCACTCACCCCCCCCTCAAAAAAAACCAACATCAAAAGACAAAAGAATCATGCTGGCTGAAATACAGCCCTAGCCCACTGTGTGTTTTGGTGGCAGCATCATGGGAGGAAGGAGACCAGGTTAGCCCCATTCCTGCGCTCAGCCTTGGCCCTGATCCTCTGCCATTGTGGATGTTAGTGTTTATTATCCCGTGACTTGGTGTTAGCCTTTGAGTTTATCTGTAGCTGGTGACCAAAATTCTTTCCAACTTTGTGATCTTCTGAGGGAGATGACTATTCGGGGGGTGGGTGTTGCGGGGGGTCCATGTTGGACGGTTGCGCCGAGAGGACTGTTCTCAGGTTTGGCCTTGGTTTGGGTTTTATTTTTTAAGGATCCAAGGCATCTACTGAGAAATGCCAGCTGATACTGCTGTGGCACCTCATCCTAAAATTTTGATGACATGCCGTGAAACAAAGAGTTAAATTACCTAATGCACTGAAATGACAGGAATTCAGCATGCCAGCACCATGTTGCTGTGACAACCAACAATTACAGTCATGCATAATCTCAGTGCTTTGTGACTGATTTTTAGTCTTTGAGTTTGATTCTTTATCTCCATTTGACATTCTCATGTGGCTTGGAGTAAAATCAGTCCATGTTCTTTTCAGCTTAGGAATAATTGAGTTTTAACTGGTTAGGGTGGAGAATAAAATCTAAGACTTGACTGGATCATTTGGGAAAGTTGTGAACATGTAGAAACATGTCCATGTATCTCTGAGTCAGGCCAGGAACTGGTAATGGCAGAGCCATTGTCTAAGCCCTGAAGCAGGAACTTAGTTTCAACACTGAACCCCGGTGCTTTGGAGTATGAGGAGGTTTCCAGCTCCCCTGTCTAAATGCTGTCTCTGTCTGATTACAGATGACTCCCAGGTCCAAGAGGAAGAGCATCCACAGCCGAATGCTACGGCCGGTCTCTAGGGCCTTTGGTGAGTGTGGCATCTACGCAAAGTCCAGCTACTTCCTTGGAGCCAGCCAACACGCCGCAGGAGGCTCACACCGTTTTAGAGTTGTATCTTAGGCACCTACTCTATAACTTAATAAAAAATTGGGTAAGGGTCTGGAGAGATGGCTTAGTGGTTAAGAGCACATGATGCTCTTCCAGAGGACCCAGAGTCGGTTCCCAGCACCCACATGGTGGCTCCCAACCATCCCTAACTCGAGTTCCCGGGGATCTGAAAGCTTCTCTTACATTCATGGGCATTGCATGCATGGGTATACTTACATACATGCAAGCAAAACACTCATAAAATTAAAATAATTTTTTAAAATTAGATAATTGGGGGCCAGGGGCTATTCTCTGATAGACATAAAAATTCCTTTTGGTGTCTTGGCCTGCATGGTTACTCAATACCCTGTAATCTTAGTGCTTAGGAGGCTGAAGCAGAATGAGCACAGTGAGTTAGAGGTCGGTCTAGGCTACAGAGTGAGTTCTGGGCCGGTCTGGCTGCAGAGTGGGTCCTTTCTCAAACATAGAACAAAAGAAAAAAAAAGATTGTATTTGTGGATTTTGTAGGTTTGATGGTGTTGGTGGTGGTATTGGTATTTCCTTCCGTCCTTCCTGTTCCTTTCCTTCCTCTAAAATGTTTTTTTAGCCAGGTGTGGTGGCCCACGCCTTTAATCCCAGCACTTGGGAGGCAGAGGCAGATGGAGTTCTCTGTGAGTTCGAGGCCAGCCTGGTCTACATAGTGAGTTCCAGGACAGCTGGGGCTACACGGAGACCCTGTCTCAAAAAAATCCAAAAAAAAAAAAAAAAAAAAAAATTTTTTTTAAATTTATTTTTATTTTCTATGTATAAGTGCTTAGCATGCATGTAAGTACACCATGTACATGCAGTGCCTGTGGAAATAAGAGGGTGTTGAATTCCCTGAATTCCCTGGAACTGGAATTTCAGGCAGTTATTAGCTGCCATGTAGTTGCTGGGAACTGAACCCGGGTCCTCTGCACAGCAGCCAGTGCTCTTACCCACTGGCTGGCTCTCCCGCCTCCTCCCCTTGTTTTGAAGAGGTCTGGCTGTGGACTCCCCAGCTGTCCTCCTTTAGCTGCCCGGGTGCTGGACCACAGTTCTGTAGCACTAGGCCCGGCCCTTGGGAGTTTCCTGTCCCACTCTGTGTCACCTTTTGCTTTGGGATGTGTTTTATTTCAGAAATGGAGTTTGACCTTGATAAAGCCCTGGAAGAGGTGCCAATTCACATCGAAGACCCACCTTTCCCATCGGTCCGGCAGGAAAAGCGTGGCTCAGGGTTGATCTCCGAGCTGCCCTCTGAAGAGGGCAAGAAGCTAGAACACTTCACCAAGCTGAGGCCAAAACGGAACAAGAAGCAGCAGCCCACACAGGCAGCGGTGGGTGGCCAGGGACCCCTCGGTACCCCCGCCCCAGTTCCTTCGCAGGGAGGAGTTGCTCTGCGCATACCCAGAGCTTCTTTGATGGAGCCTGTAGCCTCCTTCCACATGCCCTGTGTGCAGGGCCTCCCAACTGGGGCAACACCCGCATGTGAGTGAGAGAGCCAGGTTGCACCTGCGCCTTACAGGAGGAAAGATAAATGCAGCTATAGAGAGTTGACTTGCAGCTAGAAATTGTGTACATTTGCTTTTAAAGTGAATGCATGTTATTCCCCCAGCTCATCCTGAATTGACCTTAGTGTGTCTGGAGTCTCCTTGACCTCGGCTGCCCCCGATTTTCATCTCTAGGCATCAGAATTCTGAAAGCTAAGGCTAGGTCAAATGTTGTCGACATGACTCTGTCACCGAGCAGAAGATAGTAATGTACCTGAGTTTTGTGCCAAATTAACAAAAACAATTTGCATAAATATTGTCAGTATAAAAATACTTACTCTCCTTTAAGGAAATAAACTATGAGTGGCCATGCCCAGGAACATAGACTCAATTGCCGCCATGGAAGAGCTTAAGTTAACGTCTGAAGTCACAGAAAAGAGTCACGAGTCAGTGTGGTCACAAACCACAGGTGTGATCGTCGGAGGGTGGGTTAAAAAGATGGGGAATCCGTGGAATTTAGATGTGGGTTTTATCCAGCTCCCAGATTTAGAGCCAGAGGAGGCTCATGGGGTAAGGCTTAGGGAGACATCCTAAAAGGCGGAAGGAGGATATGAGGGTGGGTACAGGTGTGGACAGTCACTGGCTGTTCAAAGAGTCCAAAACAGCTTTGTCTTGTGACCTTCAGCACTCCATCTGTGTTAGAGTTCTGAGTGTGTGTGTGTGTGTGTGTGTGTGTGTGTGTGTGTGTGTGTGTGTGTGTGAACACAGAGGGGCTCAGCAGCCCAGCAGTGGCCATCTGAACTTGGGAGAGGCTGAGAACCCGGTATTGCTCAGCCCACAAAGCCAGATGCCTCAGCAGCCCTAACATGGCACTAGCGGCCTGGAAGAGTCTTAGAGAGCCACTGGTGTGCAGTCCATGCTGGAAGGCTGAAGAAGCTGGAGTCTGTCCGTGGAGGGTGGCGGTGGAGCCGGAGGAGCAACAGTAACAGGTGCACTCCCAGCAGACGCAGAGGCCGGTGGTGCCACCTTGTCCTCAGACCTCTTTATACCTGAGTGCTGGTTGGAAGGTGTTCCCCACTTTGAGGGGACGGCTTCCCCCTCAGTTAATCCTTCCTGGAGACAGCCTCACAGATACACCCAGAAGTATATTTTGTAGTTGATTCCAGATTTGGTCAGGTTGACATGATTCTTCCCTTGACGATCATAGTGTTCTCCTAGCCAAGGCCAGATAGCATACATACTCTTTAAGACAGGCAGCTTCTCCAGACACTTCACAGGGTGAGTGGTAGATACTTGGTAGGTGTGGGGGGTGAATAAGGGGGTGGATGCAGCACTGGTCATAGAACTCAGGATATTACACATGTCAGAAGAGCTCTCACCCTTGAGCTACAGGCCAGCCACCAATTAATAAAAAAGACTACACAAAACTTGAATCTTGGGTCAGATCTCGGTCGTGTCAGATTGCCAGCTGTCCTATGAATTATAGATATATGGACATCTGAGCTCCGTATTTCAGCTCCCCCCATGATCATCCAAGAAGAAAAGCAAGGTCTTTTTGGAAATAAGAAATGGGGGCTGGAGAGATGGCTCAGGGGTTAAGAGCACTGGCAGTTTTTAGGGAGCATCTGGAGTCCCAGCTAACAACTGTCTGTTCCTTGGGCTCTGATGCCCTCTGCTGGCTTTCATGGGCACTGCATACACCTGGTCCAATAAACTCACTCGATGCATAATCTTTTTAAAAACAGGAAATAACATTTACCAATTTCCCTTTCTTCCCATACTTTGCTTAGACATATGGTAACTGCCCAGCCCCTCAAATTGTTCTCGACCATTTGATAATGTATTTTTTTTAAATTTTCTGTGTATATTTTGCCTGCATGTACATATTAAGTGCACTCGTGCATGCAGTGCCTCTGGAGGCCGGAAGAGAGCATTGGGTTCCCTGGAACTGGAGTCAAGGATGGTTGTTAGCCACCATGTGCGTGCTGACGAGCACTCAGTGCTCCTAACTGCTGAGCCGTCTCTTCAGCCCCATAATGGTTATTTTTGTGCAATATTGTCTACTTGATCTAGTGGATCATTTACATAGAATTAGAGTTTAACTTCTCTTGTATCTTTGAGTTTTCCTTTCACTCTGTTTTTAATTCATTATTAATTATTGTTATTGTTATCTTTGGGGGTTTTTTGAGGCAGGGTCTTGCTGTGTAGCCCAGGATGGCCTTAAACTCACTGTGCAGCCCAGACTGGTCTGCAGTTGATGGTGATCCTCTGGCCTAACCCTTGTGATGCTCACTTAGAAGCATGAGCTGGGCTGGAGAGGTGGCTCAGCCATTACGAGCACTGAGTGCTCTTGCAGAGGACCCAGGTTCAATTCCCAGCACCCACATGGCAACCAACAACCAACTATCACGTCAGTTCCAAGGGTTCTGACACCCTCTTCTGACCTCCGTGGGCATTGCACAACATGGATGCACTTACATACATGTAGGCAATGCACTCATAACACATACAATAAAAATAATTAAATATTTTAAAAAGCATGAGCCGCTGTCCAGGCCTCCCGCCCCTATTTCTGTTTAAAGTGCATTCGGTGCCTTCTCCTATTGTGTGGCTCTGGTTCATCAATCTTTTCTCAAAGAACCAACTTTTCATTCTGTCCTGTCTTCATTGAGTTCTCCCGTCTTGCCTTTGGCTGACGTACTCCTGACTTTCTTCCGGGTACCAGCCTTCCCTGTTTGTTGCTGTGGAAGGTGTGTGTGTGGCTACACAGCTTCCCCAGGAACAATCTCAGGACGTGTTTGCTCACAGGCTCCTACTGCAACCGCCTGGGCTCAGGCTCATGAAGACATGGTCAGGGTTTTGGCAGCCATGTCGTCAAACCCAGGTATGCGTTATACCTCCTGGCGTATCCTTTTCCATCACTCTGGCGAGGAGACCAGAGGGTGGTCTGAGCTGCCTTTAACCTCACATGCACCCACTTACCTTCTGTCTAGTCACAAGTTAACCTTCCAGCTGCTTCTTGGTCACAGAGGTACAGTGTGCCTTCTCGGTCACAGAGATGCAGTGTGCCTTCTTGGTCACAGAGATGCAGTGTGCCTTCTCGGTCACAGAGGTACAGTGTGCCTTCTTGGTCACAGAGGTACAGTGTGCCTTCTCGGTCACAGAGATACAGTGTGCCTTCTCGGTCACAGAGGTACAGTGTGCCTTCTCGGTCACAGAGATACAGTGTGCCTTCTTGGTCACAGAGGTACAGTGTGCCTTCTTGGCTTCTCCAGCACCAGTGGTTTATTTTTGAGAGCTAGAGAGCTCCCCAAGGCGAGGGCACGGCTCCTGCCAGTGCAGGGCAAGTCCCCGCTCCCTCTCCAACCACTGTGCTGTTCTTAGCAGTCTGACACTGATTCTCCTTGACAGAAAAGACAGGAATCACGCCTTTCCCTTTTGCTAGAAAATGAGCTCGAGCAGTGGCCTTGAACTCTGCAGACCCACGTCATATGCTTCTGAGTTCTGCTTTTTCCCAGGTCACTGTTACCTCGGCTTCCCGTTAACCCCTGCTTTTTAAAGCACATTCTGGGATATCTCCAGCCATCCTGGGTGTGTCTTAACCTGTCTTCTGTCCTGTGAGGTACAGCCCAGCCCTACAGCCTGCTGCCTGGGGAAGCAGTGCTTTGCTCAGCCTTGGCTTCTGCCTCCAGAGCCTTTGATGATCTCCATGTCCCCAAGGAACTCCAGGTCCAGCTGTGGATTCTGTTTCAAATCAGGGAAACAGAAACAGCCAAGGGGAGAAATTGAATGGATAAAACTTCATCTTTCATTGCTTGCGTCAAGAAGGGGAGTCAGCTTATTGTGCTGATGCATGCCTTTAAATCTGGGACTCGGGAGGTGAATCTCATAGAGATTGAGGCCAGGCTGGTCTATATAGTGAGTTCCAGGCCAGCAGGGGCTACAGGAAGACCCGATCTCAACAAAACAAATCAAAACCAAACAAAAACAAAAAAAAAAAAAAAAGGGAATCAGAGGCTGGCCAGATGGGTGAGCAGCTAAAGGCACTTGCTACCAGGTCTCATGAGTTCAGTCCCTGGGGCCCACATGGTGGAAGGAGAGAACAAATTCCCTCAAGTTGTCCTCCGATCTCCACACACGTGACATGGCATGCATGTGCCCATACACACATACACACTAAATGTGATGAACATTTTTTTAAGGAGTAATTGGGCTGGAGAGATGACTCAGCAGTAAAGAGCACTGGCTACTCTTGTAGAGGACCCAAGTTTGGTTCTCAGTACCCACCTGACAGCTCACAGTCATCTGTCACTCCGGTTCCAGGGGATCCAACACCTACACAGGCACTGCATGCATGTCATGTACATACATACATGCAGACAAAACAGAGAGAGAGAGAGAGAGAGAGTTGAGGCAGCCACAGGAAGCTGCTGGATGAAACCACCTGTTCTTGGTCGCCTCCCTCTCCATCCCTCTGTCAGGTGCCCTGAGTTATGCCCCTCACACTCAGAGCTGCTGTTTGATCGGTAACTAGGTAACTACTAGGGCCACTACCTTCCCTCCTCAGTTCAAAGGCTGCATGTGAGGGTGAAAAATAATGTGGAAAACACATGAACATCTGGAGGAGAGGTCCCTGTTACCAGAGTCAAACCTTCATTCATTTTCAAAAGAAAAAAATGATAGTGCAGGACAGTTCTGGGCTGCTGTGTCTCCTGTAGTCAAAGCAGAGGTTAGTCAGTGAGCGTCTCTGCATCGCTGAGTTAACAACTTGCTGGTGCACACTGTACTGTAAAAAAACTGCCCATTAGTACAAAGTACCATTCCAGCGAGAGAAGCCAGTGGCTTAATTATCTGCATTTTACTCACACAGCTCTCTGTTGCCTGCTCACTTTGGGTTTCTTTTAAGAAAAGGAGAGATTGCATGGGACTTGTGTGTGCTGACACCATTGCCATAGAATCATATGAGCAGGTTACCAGAGGCTTATAGGACTCTTTTATGACAGTGTATATGAACTCCAGTGGGGGGTAGGGGAGGGCTATGGGAGAGTGCAGTGGGGATTGGGGGAATAAAGATGATTGAGATTGTTTGAGATGTTCTATATGAAATACACAAAATCTCAATAAGTCAAATTTTTTAAAAGGAGAGAAGTCAGAATAGTGACTGGCAGAGGGTTTTGTTCAAGGTGTGAAATGCTATTTCTGTGCTTGGGAAAGTGACCCAGAGATATTTGGGGACTTGGTTGTTTTTCTGACTTGTATGGGGGATGGAACCCAGAGCCTCAAACTCGAGACAAGCACCATCTCACTGAGCTATATCTCCAACCCCATCAGGTTTTTTTAATTGTCTTACCAAGTAGCTTAGGCTGACTTTGAACTCATAACTATTCTTGTCTCAGCCTCCCCAGTGCTGCGTTATAGTTAGTTATCTCTTCACTGTTTTGCATATTGGTCATGGGCTTTTCACAGCCTGCATGGCCCATTTGCCAAAACCCCAGCCAGGCACTGTTCATAGTACATTTTTAAAACCTGGTCATGCATGCTATAATCCCAGGACTTGGGAGGTAGAGACAGACGTACTGCTACAAATTCTAGGTCAGCCTGATCTGTATAGTAAGCTCCAGGCCAGCCAGAGATATTCAGCAAGCCTGTTTCCAAACCTGCCCCCATACACATCATCATCATCATCGTCGTCGTCATCATCTTGTTGATAAACCTGTTTTTCCTTGCTAGGTTGTGGCTGCACCCTGGCCTCTGTTCCAGCAGATCACATGGTCGTGATCAATGGGGCGTGGGTTAGGGTTAGGAGACTGGAGTCCAGCAGGACTGAGGGTGGATTGAGGCCAGTTTTGTTTGTTTTACAGGTCTGTGCCAGCAGCATTGTCCCCCATGATGGAGAACAAAATGGGCTCATGGGCAGAGTGGATGAAGGTGTAGATGAATTTTTCACCAAGAAAGTGACCAAAATGGATTGCAAGTGAGTTCCCAGGTTGTCATCTCATTGGCAGTGCCATTTCATTCACATTTTAGCAACTAAGGATTCATCTTAGCAACCAGGTCTCCTGTGGGGGTTTATTATTTGTTGGTTTATATAACATGGTCTGCAGCCGAGCTGAGGCAGTCCCACCTGGGAACTCAGTAGAACTGCAAGTGTCAAGCTCTAGCCACCCACCGGAGGGACAGCCCAAGCCATCCGGGTGGCACTGAGCTGTGCTGTGCACGGCACTGTTCACAAATGACCAAACGTCTGCCACGTCAGAGCGCAGAAGGGCCTCTCACATTCACCTGGAAGATTCCACCTTCAGAGCAGTGAGCATTGGCTATGGCAGTGCGTGCTTTGAACTTTCTTGTTCATGATTTAAACTGTCGGTGGGTAGGGTGGTGATATGGCAGGAAGGTGGCACAGGGCCTTCCGACTTACGCTCTGTGATGGTTCGTTCCATCTATGTAACAGGACCGAGACCCACCTAGGAGACAAGCCTCCCAGCTCATCCTAGAGGGATTATATGAATTAGGTTAATTGAGATGGGAAAGCACACTCTAAATGTGGGCTGCGGTCCTGGCTTTCGTGAAGAGGAGGAGGAGGGTGCTGAGTATGCTTTCCTTCCTGACTGTGGACACTTGCCTTACCCTCCTACACCATGACTGCCCTGCTGTGATGAACAGTGCCCTCAAACCGGGAGCCACAGTAAACCCTTTCTCGCTTAAATAGCTTTCATCAGGATATTTAATCACAGCAACAGGAAAAGTACTGTAGCCTCTAAAGATTTTTCTCTACATTTTCTTATTACTAGGATAGAGTTTCCTTAGAAGACAGTTCAATATACTTTGTTAATAACCTAAGCTGGGTATGGTGGCATGTGCTTATAATCCTAACACTCAGGAGGCTGAGGTGGGAGGATTTGCTGTAAGTTTGGGGCTAGCCTGGGGTACATGTGAGTTCCAAACCATCTTGAGCTCTGTACAGTATGTGACCCTGCCTCAACCCCACCTCAAATAATTGTTTAACTTAAAACACTCCCATCTTTAAATAGATTTTCACAGGTTATTCAGTCAGTCACCAACTAAATGCTGATCCTTCCAGGATACACTCCCCACTTGGATTTGGATTTGTGAAGGATGCGTCACCTTGGAGATGAAGTTCAGGAATACATTTAAGCTTTGCTGATAGCCGAGGGTGGGCAGACGGGGCCTGGGTAGGGAATGGGTTGGTCTGAGCTGCGGATTGATGAGCCTTATCTGTCCTTGGCAGGATAGCGAAATGGAAATCAGTTAAGTGTTATCCATGGCCATGTAGCTTACAGTAGCTTGTAAGCTTTATCATCCAGTTATTGGTTGTCTTTGATACTGGCTTTGCAGCTTAGCATAGCATCACTTGGCAGAATTCTATGTTTGAAGACTCACTGAAATGTCATTTATTCTCTAACAGCTTCCCATGATGCTCCATTCCTACAAATTCCTACCGACTCCTGGCTTCATGGTTTTTTTTTTTTCCATCCTCTACGCACATCTATAGAGCACATAATCCTTCCAGAGTCTATTTTGTTTTTTAAATTCTTATATAGTACAAGGGTTTGAGGATTGTGTTTTCAACTTAAAAAGAGTCAAGAATTATCAGCTTTTAACAGAGCAGAATGGCCGATCCCTCTAGATGAGCTCGCTCTCCCTCACCCCCAAGATGCTGAGGTAGCTCTCCCTCACCCCCAAGATGCTGAGCTAGCTCTCCCACACCCCCAAGATGCTGTTCTTCAAGAACAATGGCCGGGTCTTAATTTTTCTTTACAGTTTCAGAATTGTTGATGGCAGGGTGGGGGGTAACAGTTGTTCATTGTCATGTGTTTTTTTATTTTATTTTTTTTGAGACAGAGTCTAATATTTTAGTCCAGGCTGGTCTGGAATTTGCTAAGCAGCCTAGGCTAGATTTATACTCTTGTGTGATCCTCCTGCCTCAGCCTCCCATGTGCTGAGATTCCAACTGTATACCACCACAGCTAACAACGCCATAGTCTCAGTACAGACCAGTGTAGTGATTGGCCCTCAGTCACGGCTGGTGAATCCATCAAGATGACACAGACCTGTCTTCAAGAAATGAAACTGTCGCTGACGCTTTTTCAACTTAGAATCTTGTGTTAGTGGGAAGTAGGAGAGCGCCGACACCACGTGGTCAGGTGTTGTGTCAGAACTGCCTCACGGCGACGTTCCCTCTTGCTGTGCAGTTCTGTTCTTTAGACCCTGAGTGAAGCCTGGGTGAATTTATAATATGTGAAGTCTCTTTCCTACAATGATACTGGTCCAGGGTTCTGGTCACGCTTCTTTGTACAAGCACCAGACACCTCCACTTTGATAAGCTGCTCCTGGGATCTACTGAAAGTTGTGCTTTTATTTAATTGAAATTTATATTATAAAAATAGGTTGTCAGTTTGATATTGAAGGGCAGGGCATTAGGTAAATTATCATAAAATAGTGTGAAGAAAGTTTGAAACTCAAAGTTACAGGTGTTTATAGTTGAAAATGTCACATTTTCTCAGGGTTTTCACTGAGCAATCCGTTCCGTCCTGTTCTCCAGAGCAGCTGACTTTCATCCCGTTAGCTGTTCACTTTGCTTCCAGTTTCCTTTATAGAATAAAGACTTTCTATTTGGGGCTGGAGAGATAGGTCGGCAGTTAGGAGCGCTAGCTGGCTAACAAATGCCTGTAATTCCACGTGTAGGGGATCTGACCACCTCTTCTGACTTCGAAGGCATTGCATGCACGGATGCACTTACATTCATACACAAACATTCATACACATAAAATAAAAATAAATACCAAATAGGAAAGGTGTCGCGAGCCGGGACTCTGTCCAGCAGAGTCCCGGAAAGACGACACAGACACCAAGGTGAGGTTCAAGCTTCTGTTT